GGTAAACAGTATGAGGGTTGTTACACTAAGAGTGCTTACAAGTGAAAGAGAACGGAAAACGAAACACAGAACGAGCATACAAAATTTCAGAGAATAGGGTCCCCGCTCGAGGGTCCATTACCCCGCTCGAGTGAACCCAAGAGGCCTGCAAAAGTACTGGTTACTTCAAAATTACGCTCGAGCGTGAGTTAGGGAGCTCGAGCGGAAAGCCTATCTATGTAGCTCCCTCGCTCGAGCGTGAACTAACCCGCTCGAGCGGACACCAAGTCTGTAAAAAGTACTGGGAGCACGTTTTTCCCGCTCGAGCGTCCATTACCCCGCTCGAGCGGACATCAAAATTTTGGGTTTCCGAGATTGTGTTCTTGAGCTCAATTCGACCTTCAAGCTAATATTTCTTGCATGCAATGGCTCAAATCTCAAATATAATTATACTAACATGGCGCCAATGCAAGATTATAACATCATGAAGCTCAATTTCTTGATTTATCTACATGCATGTCCCAAAATATGTCAAACTCAACACCAACATAACAAACTCATGCATTCAAGCTCATATCTTCTCAAATTGTACATGTATGTGATGAATTAGCCACATTCCCAACTTAGATAACACAAATGGTGATCAAAACATGGGTTTCCTTTAACATTTCACATGGATTATACACAATTGTGTTCAAACATGCAATTTCAAAGTAAGTTCTTACATACATGCACATATTAAGCTCCAATTCAACAAATCCAACACAAATTCGTTTCAATCTTACACTTGATCACCAAATTAGCTTGAACACATAAAATTACAAACTATAATCCAAGAATTACTCACCTAGAACCTTTGATCTTCTAAGCTCTAGTTAACTCTTAAGCTAAATCTCCAAAATTTCCAAGCTTTAAGTCAAATTATGCAATTCTATCCCTCTCTCTTCCTAAGGCCGACCCTCTCTTCTCACTCTTGAGTCAGCATCAGCCAAAATGATATAAGGAAGGAGAATTGACTATAATAAGGTCCCTATTTAACCCCACTCAACATATTATTTCAATATAAAATAATTGGGCATTTAATTCATCAATTTAATCGATTTAATCTGACCCGAATCAATTTTGAATTAAATTTCACCGTAGGTTCTAAAAATTAGGCCAATCACAATGGCGTAAGCGATTTCGGGTTTTGTGGCCGATAAGGCCTCCAATTTAATTTCCAAAGCAGATTATTCAAACAGATATTCCTACGGTGAACTGATAGAACTTCGAAATCACATATATTCATAAAATAGCACATAAAATCATATTAAACACATCATCATACTCGTATTAAGGACCAATTAGCATACTACAGAACAGGGGTAATACATAAGGCCTTAATTTATGAATTGAAACATTTATTTTAGAGTAGAATTTAACTAAGTTAGGGTTAGAGAATCTAATTCGGTTTGAATTTCTTGTTTTGAATAAAAAGGCTACCAACAGACGAGCGTGATAAAAACCGGAAAAACCTAGGATTTTTAAGGGGTAATTCTACGTTTATGGAGTCAATTAATTAGTATTAGGGTATTATACTGATTTCTAAGTTATCAAAATCGATCAGGGTTTGCGAGTTTTCAGTTGGTACATGTATTTTAATCCTAGGGTAAAAATTGTAATTAATTAAGAAATTGAGCGATTTCAAAGAAATAATTTAAAAGTAAGGGACTTAATAGGGTTTAAATAAGTTAGGGGTCTCGCACAAACAATCTTTTCTCCTCAAAGTGCAAAGAAGCAACATTTTGCAATGATGCAAGAGTCAGCAAGGAAAGATATAGAGCGGGCATTCGAAGTGCTCCAATCCCGATTTACAATTATAGGTGGTGTCGTACGTTTTTGGGATCCGAAAATGCTTGGTAACATAATGAAGAGTTGGGTTATATTACACAATATGATTGTTAAAGATGAGCGAGAGGAGCATTCTGATTTCGATCATGATATTTTATCAACCAACTCACCAGTAGTACTTTCGTGTAGCAGTAACAATGACTTCCAATCATTTATGTCCCGCCATTTAGGTATTAGAGATAAGAATGAATATCATGCCCTCCGCAATAATTTAATAGAACATGTATGGCATCTTCGTGGTGAAAACTAACTTCACCACGCGGACGCAAACATGAACTTTTGGTTGATTTTTTTTATTGGGAGGTGATTACGCAAGGAAAGTTGTCAGTGTTTGTTTGTTGTTAGTGCTCTTCATAATGTACACATCCATTTTTGCTAATATTTTTGGTTTGTTAACTTTGTCTTTATCGAAAATAATGTGCATTTGTTACCAATATACTGATGTCATAATTTACTGATGTTGTTTTCTGACATGGCTTTGGACTACTGATATGGATGGCTATAACATATACCTTACTTTAGTGCATAACAACTTTTCAAAATTTTGTATCTACATTTATTAAATTACAAATGACTTATGATTGTTAAATATATCCACTATATATTAAATTACAAATGAATGCAGCGCATTTCACGAATGAATTACAAAAATGAATGTAGCATTAAAATATATATTACAAATAAATTTGATAAATACCCAACATTTGAAAATTCAATACCATTGTACAATCCAACTACTTCACCATACAACTTGTAGGTTTGGCGAATGCCTCATGAAACATATACCACCATCCAACTACTTCATTTAAGAAATTTACCCACCTCATTACTTCCCTCCACCACCTACCTCATTTAAAGCTATTGACACTCTATATACACTCAATATTGGACAAAAATGTGTGTCATTTTTGGTGAAGGAAGTGTGCATTGAAAAAAGTAGCAAGCCAAAGCAATAGAAACAACAAGCCAAAGTTCAACAGAAATCGAATACAAATTCTGCTCTAAAGCTGGTCAACCAAAGGGTCAAACGGTGGGTCGATCGACCGGTTAACCGGCCTTTTTTTTTTTTTTTTAGTGTGTACTACCTTTCACACCATTGGTGACCTCGCACTCAATTTCAGCTCCTCTATAAATCCACATTCATATTTAACACATTTCCAATCAAATTGAAACATATATTGACATCATGCTTAGAACCAAAAGAGCAAGATCAGAACATGGTTTGAAGCTCCAACCCTCCACCACACCAATAACAAACAACAACAGCCTCAAATTTAGCTTATCCTACTATTGACTTTCTCACTATATAATTCATAACAAGCTTTTCAAAAGCTTCTCCAGCTGATTCCTACTGTCGCTGGGAGAAGGGTTAATCTTCACCTGCTCATATGAAATCCTCCTGTTGGTTAGTAAATTGAGGCTATGGGATGGCTAAATTTAATCAATTTACCACAAAAGTTAATCCATTGTCTTGTGTCTTTTTTATGTTCACTTGAAATGATCTAGACATGGAAATATGAATACAGAAATCAGTCACTAGTCATAAGATAATTGTATAGAAACGATTCTTCATGAAAACAGTTACAGCGAAATCTATTTTTGGTGTCGAAATAAGATTGCCGATTGAAAGGCTCCTTCTATAGTACCGATCCCCTTTGCCATTAAAGATTTGAATCTGTCAATGATTCATTAACATCTATTTTCAATGATCCTCATTTCGTTGATTTTCATCACCTTCTACGATGATTTCTCACTACATTAGCTCCATCTCCGGGATGCTGGATTATGCTTCACTATCCGCGATTCGCGGATTTGTATTCCGAACACTCCTTGTTGCCACCATTTGTTACGTCTATCTCCTTTTGTTATCTCGCTCAACAATTCTAAGCGGAAAATTATTGGATAATACTTCAACAATTTTAGATTGGTTGGCACAACATTCATCAAATTCTAAACATTCGTGAGTTGGTTTTAATTCTTCAACTTCTGCTTTTGCCAGCCTTAAATACAATTGGTCACATGTGATATATTAATCGGTTTTGGTCCCCCGCAATATTGTTTTTGGGTGAAGCCTCACCTTTCAGTTGCTGGATTGAAAATGGATATGTTTGTTACATAAAGTTTTTTTGGTTGTGTCTAATTCTCTCACTTACAACTTCGGCGCAAAATATCCCAAACTTGTTATCAAATGTGAATTGCTTTTTTCTGTATTGGCCATGATATAATGCCTTCGCTTCAGTGACCTAATAAAAATGAAATATAAGTATTTAGAATAACAATACGACTGAGCACTAAGAAAATTGATATTTAAATACAGAAATGAAAATTACCATGTCTGCCTCAGTTGTTCCACTTTGTTGCCGGCAATTAGATTTTCTCAAGAAACCACAAAATTTATTAATTGCCTTTTGCATGATGACCAATGGTTGAGACAAAGAAATACGTTTTCGATTTATTCACCATTCAATTTGATTTGAATTAAAATAAATGAGTCTCGTTTCCAGAATATTTCATGATGCTGAACTATTACCAGTAATTGAGATCTTGAGAGACGCCAACCATGACCTAAACATAAGGTTTCATCTTCTATAAATGGTGAAGCTTTTACACTAAAACACGAGAAGTTTCCAAAATAAAATTAATATAAGTGTTTTGTCGAAGTTTGTGATTCTTCAACATTTCAAAATCTTCCATAGTTTTAAGAAAACTTCAATAGAATACAACATCCAACACAGACAGTGAAATATATTGTATAATGATATACCACTTAAGTTGACGAAGAAATAGATATACACCAAAGCTCACAAAGGAAAATAGAAATTGAAAGTGTGTTTGGTTTTCAGTTCTAAATTCGGTTTTCTAAAAACTGAGTTTTTATTTTTTGTAGTTTTTTGTTTTTAGTGAATATCTTTTAAATTTAAGTAATTTTTTTACTTTTTTAGATGCACCGTACTTAGATGTAAATCTAAATTTAGTTAAAATATTTGTTAAAAAATATTTAAAAAATTAATAAATATACAAAAATACGAAAGATGAATTGAATTTTCATTTTTTTTGTTTGTTATTTTTTTGGTATTTAGTATATTTTTTAAAGATTTTTTTTTCACAATATTATACTTTTTAAGAGTATTTATTTTTGCCAGGTGTGTCTAAAATTTTTTTAAAAAAAATTGCTTAAAACATTAAAAAAAAATTCATTGAAAATATTAAAAATTACGAAAAATAAAAAAGTAAAATTTTCTAAAAACTAAGAACTAAACAAGCCTGATATGTGGAAACTGGAAGTTCACAGAGAAAAAATATAAATTGTAAATGATATTGTAAAATTAAAATATTGGTTAAATTGTTTTACAAATTCATAAAACAACCGGGTTTAACTTTGTAAAAAATCCTCCGCAAAACACAATGATTAACTTATGGAGTTACACCTTTACTGAACGGCCAATTTTTTGATAACAAAATTTTGAATCTATATTACAATGGCATTTCCCCTCTGCTTATGGGATTTTCCAATGTTGAAATTATTTCGTTGGTGCCCAAACAAAAGGCAAAAAACCCCAATTTTTTCAAAAAGCCCAGTTTCGCAGGCCCCAAACCATGGCTTGTTGCCTCTGGCCATTTTTTGATTATAAAGCTTGGGATGGGGACCGGGCGACCGGGGAAAAAAAACCCCCAAATTTTTAATCTTCTTTCCCTTTTTTG